CAGCACCGCCACCACCAGCACCACCACCAGCACCACCACCAGCACCGCCACTACCAGCACCAGTACCGCCACCACCAGTACCACTACCAGCACCACCACCAGCACCATCACCAGCACCGCCACTACCAGCACCAGCATCGCCATCACCAGCACCACCACCAGCACCCCCACCAGCACCACCACCAGCACCGCCACTACCAGCACCATCACCGGCACCACCAGCACCACCACCAGCACCACCATCAGCACCGCCGCTACCAGCACCAGCACCGCACCACCACCACCACCACCACCAGCACCGCCACTACCAGCACCAGTACCGCCACCACCACCACCAGCACCGTCACTACCAGCACCAGCACCGCCACTACCAGCACCAGCACCGCCACCACCAGCACCACCCCACCACCACCACCACCACCACCACCAGCACCGCCACCAACCAGCACCACCCCACCACCAGCACCACCCCACCACCACCACCAGCACCGTCACTACCAGCACCAGCAACGCCACCACCAGCACCACTACTACAACCACCACCACCACCGCCACTACCAGCACCACCACCACCAGCACCGCCACTACCAGCACCGCCACCACCACCACCAGCACCGCCACTACCAACACCAGCACCGCCACCACCAGCACCACCAGCACCAACACCAGCACCACCAGCACCAGCATCACCAGCACCACCACCAGCACCCCCATCAGCACCACCACCAGCACCACCACCCGCACCGCCTCAACCAGCAACCAGCACCGCCACCACCAGCACCAGCACCATCACCACCAGCACCGTCACCACCAGCACCAGCACCGCCACCACCAGCACCGCTACCATCAGCACCGCCATCACCACCACCACCACCGCCAGCACCGCCACTACCAACACCACCACCAGCACCGCCACCACCAGCACCGCCCCCACCAGCACCGCCACCACCAGCACCGCCACCACCAGCACCACCACCACCAGCACCGCCACTATCAGCACCAGCACCGCCACCATCAACATCACCACCCACAGCACCGCCACCACCAGCACCACCACCAGCATCACCACCCCCACCACCATCAGCACCGTCCCCACCACCACCGCCACCACCACCAGCTCCTGCACCGCCCCCACGCACCAGGACCGCCACCACCAACACCGCTACCACCAGCACCGCCACCACCAGCACCGCCACCACCAGCACCGCCACCACCAGCACGCCCAACCAGCACCAGGACCGCCCCCACCAGCACCTGCAACCGCCACCACCAGCACTAGGACTGCCACCACCAACATCGCTACCACCAGCACCGTCACCACCAGCACCGCCACCACCAGCACCGCAACCACGAGCAACGCCACCACCAGCACCAGCACCACCAGCACCAGCACCGCCACCACCAGCACCAGCACCATCACCACCAGCACCGCCACCACCCCCACCACCAGCACCGCCACCACCACCACCAGCACCGCACCACCACCACCAGCACCGCCACCACACCACCAGCACCGCTACCACCAGCACCGCCACCACCACCACCGCCACCACCAGCTCCTGCCCCCCACCACCAGCACCGCACCGCCACCACCAGCACCAGTACCGCCACCACCAGCACCCACACCACCAGCACCAGCACCACACCACCAGCACCGCCACCACCAACACCGCCACCACCACACCAGCACCGCCACCCCACCACTAGCACCGCCACCACAAGCACCGCCACCACCAGCACCATCACCAGCACCACCACCACCCAGCACCATCACCACCAGCACCACCACCACCAACACCGCCACCACCAACACCAACACCGCCACCACCAGCACCATCATCACCAGCACCATCACCACCAGCACCATCACCACCAGCACCACCATCACCAACACCGCCACCACCAACACCAACACCGCCACCACCAGCACCGCCACCACCAGCACCATCACCACCAGCACCATCACCACCAGCACCACCACCCCCTGCACCACCACCACAGGTGACACAGGTGAGTACACGTGTTCAGAATTCCTCCACTTAAACAAGGCAGCGATGAAGGCAGGTGAGAGCAAGACTGGCCTAATATTAAGTCAATATACTCACTGCCTGGCTAATATAACAAATGTTTCCTCTGAGTTCCTCTGATCCTCGCCTCACAAACCACCTTCTAATCATTTTGATCCTGATTTTTCTGTGACCGATCAGCCTCTTATTCCTAGACATTATTTTTGATGCGGAATTAGACACATGTGCAACATCTGGGTATCTTTATTTGTAGACGTTTCACCCTCCAGTGGCTTTATCAATACAAGGACATAATATGAAGACTATAGAATTATATAAAAACCTGAGGTAATCAGTCCCTCAGTCTTCGAGTTGTTATTGTTGACATTGTTAATGCAGGTTTGTTAGGTCAGCGAGTCAGTTGTTCTTCTTCACTCACTGAGGATCTAATTTTTACCATAGATCTCTACATAGAAAATAATATATATGTAAGTGTATATACTAGCTAGATATTATATACGCAAGTATTTGTACACCATAGTTTGTACACAAGCTTACTTACACCACAGGTGCACACAGGTGCATGTGCACCAATGTGTATATACAAGTGGATGTACACAAGATATAGCGTATATACACAAGTGTATGTACATCAGATAAAGTGTATGTGTACACAGTGTCTAAATACTGGTCTGGTTGGTTCATTACCTTACAATAAGCTCTCCCCTCTTGTATATATATAGAACGCTCTATAAACACCTTCCAAAGCTAAAATATTAAAGATTTTGTTTTTACTGGACCCAAACTTTTGTCCACAATGTTGTATTTTTCTGGTCCTGCCCCGAGCTGAGTTGTTCTCCCGTTAATGTGTTAACAAAAGCGGTAAAAACTAGCGCCGTTTTAGGTTAAGTTAAATTAGATGTCTCCACAGCGAGTGTTTAAACGGCACATGTCTCCTTGTGGCACTCAACCCGTTGTTCTCACCTGCACTCGCTCGCCACTAAACTACATTCACTCGTGATCAATCGTCTGCTGAGTGAGTTACTGCTTTAGAAAGATACGTGAGCAGACACTTTGACATATTTATTAGAAAACATTTCGATACTGGAACGCTAATCAAGTTTTGTAATATGTCCTTGTATTTGCTCACGTGAATTTCTAAACTAGTTTGTCGTTATCAATTACCAATGTTTATGATACTGAGTTTTCTATCCTTTCCCTCAGCTTGACTGGCTGTGTGGGTAGCGCCTCCGGAAGGAAGATCCAGCCTCCGTCACTCACTGCCATGAAAGACACACGAGTTTACCGCTCTCCATAAATATTAAGAGGAATCTTAACCATTCTTTTATTAGTTATTACTAATTTACCTGTAGGTTACCTGTAGGTTACTTGTAGGTTACCTGTAGGTTACTTGTAGGTTACCTGTAGATTACTTATAGGTTACCTGTAGGTTACCTGTAGGTTACCTGTAGGTTACCTGTAGGTTAACTGCAAGTTACTTGTAAGTTACCTGTAGGATACCTGGAGGCTACCTCTAACTTACCTGTAAGTTACTTGTAGGTTACCTGGAGGTATATGTCGGTTACTTGTAGGTTACTTGTAGGTCCCAGACCAGACCTGCGTCACACACCTGGTCCCAGGCCAGACCTGCGTCACACGCCTGGTCCCGGACCAGACCTGCGTCACATGCCTGGTCCCAGACCAGACCTGCGTCACATGCCTGGTCCAAGACCAGACCTGCGTCACATGCCTGGTCCCAGGCCAGACCTGCGTCACACGCCTGGTCCCAGACCAGACTTGCGTCACACGCCTGGTCCCAGACCAGACCTGCGTCACACTCCTGGTCCCAGACCAGGCCTGTGTCACACGCCTGGTCCCAGAGCAGGCCTGCATCACATGCCTGGTCCCAGACCATTCGTGTGACACAACATGTAGATTTGTCAAGCAGTGAGACAAGAAAGGATCGTGCAGGCAATGTTACGTTATGAAGTTTGATCTGAGGAAGGGGAGGGGATAGCTCCAATTTCTTGAATCAAGAGCCCTTCATCACCATCAAAGGGGAAAGCAGTAGGCATTATTATTATATGTAAGGAGAAACGCTAAACCCTTAGGGAGCAGAGGGCAGCCGTGTGTGACAGTTCGTATATCTCTGAGTGGTTGGGTAAAGAGGGATTAGCTTCTGAGCTTATGGGAGCTTGTGGGAGCTTGTAAGAGCTTGTGGAAGCTTTGAGAAGCATGGGAGAGCTTGTGGGAGCTTTGAGAAGCATGGGAGAGCTTGTGGGAGATTTGAATAGCGTTTGGGAGCGTGTAAGAGAAGCTTGGGGGAACTTGACAGGGCTTGTAGGAGCTTTGGGGAGAGTGTGGGAGCAGGTTGTGGGAGCTTGTGTGATGGGGCTTATAAGTACCGTCTCCGCGAATATGCTGCACTTTTGTCAAGACTGACGGACTGAACACATCGACTCCAACCTTAGGGACTGATTACCTCAAACTCCTCCTCTTATTCCACCTTTTTCCGCATTGGACTAAAGAAGCCACTGTGTGATGAAACGTTTCCAGAATAAGGATACCCAGATGTTGCACAAGTGTCTCATATATCAACGTGTCGGTTTTGTAAACCATTTAATGACATAAGAGGAACCACCAACAGACTCCTGGCTGTCTTGAAGACAAAACTTGATGAAATCCTCAGGTCAGCTCCTGATCAGCCAGGCTGTGATACACACTGTGGACCGCGTGCGGCCAGCGTCGTGTCAACTAAAAACTCGTTCTGTATTACCTTCCTTTATTCCAAGGATTCCTTTTTACCAAGAATTACTGTTAGTATTATCATGGAGAAGCGCTAAATTGGTATGAGTCCTGCAGCGCCTAGGAAACGGGACGTCATCAGGTTTCGTCCATGGAATTGTAGAATAGATCCAATTCCTTGGATCAAGAGCCCTTTATAAACAAATAAGTCAATAGAGTGATGCAAATTAATAATGCAGGGAGACTCACCTGTGCCAGTTCCATTTGCGGAGGAGGTGGCGGCGGCGTAGGAGGCGGCCGCCGCATGACTGGCGGCGTTGAAGGAGGACACTGCCGCCTGCGACACTGAGTTGCCGCAGGAAGCGAGCTGGGAGGAAGACCGCTGGTACGAGGAGGAGAGGGAGGAGAGCGGGTCGTGGAACATGTAGGGGTAAGCTGAAGCTGCGTCCCTCTGCTGCAGACACGACCCTCCCATGGAGCTCAACGACCCTGACATACTGTAGGGGGAAGAACACACACATGTTACCTCATATTATACTCACTTCTCTATGTTGCACCCATGTATGATACACTCACTTCTCTATGTTGCACCCTTGCATGATACACTCACTTCTCTATGTTGCACCCTTGCATGATACACTCACTTCTCTATGTTGCACCCTTGCATGATACACTCACTTCTCTATGTTGCACCCTTGCATGATACACTCATTTCTCTATGTTGCACCCATGTATGATACACTCACTTCTCTATGTTGCACCCATGTACGATACACTCACTTCTCTTCGTTGCACCCCTGCATGATGCACTCACTTCTCTATGTTGCACCCATATATGATACACTCACTTCTCTATGATGCACCCCTGCATGATTCACTCACTTCTCTATGTTGCACCCCTGCATGATACACTCATTTCTCTATGTTGCACTTCTGCATGATTCATTCACTCTATGTTACACTCATACTGCACTCAATGATGAATGTTACACTAACTGACGTATGTTGCACTCATATATGATGTACTATTGCGTGCACAAAGTGCGCTATGTATTTCATCGGTGTACACAAGACCAACCACAAATCCTGTAATCTTTCATAGCTGTACGCAAGGAAAGCACAGTTATCCAGTGGTGTTATACAAATTAGATAACCTGGTTACCATTAGATATGCCGAGGCATCCTGCCTTGTCAGGGAGGAGTTAAGGGGCCTGGTGTGATTACCTAATTACCTCGTCCGTGATAATAGTTCCAGGAGCCAGACTCTCTCAGACCTTCAGCCGGCATGTATCTCATTGTCCCCTCTGGTTCTATATATATTATTATTATTATTATTATTATTATCACACTGGCCGATTCCCACCAAGGCAGGGTGGCCCGAAAAAGAAAAACTTTCACCATCATTCACTCCATCACTGTCTTGCCAGAATGGTACTTTACACTACAGTTTTTAAACTGCAACATTAACACCCCTCCTTCAGAGTGCAGGCACTGTACTTCCCATCTCCAGGACTCAAGTCCGGCCTGCCGGTTTCCCTGAACCCCTTCATAAATGTTACTTTGCTCACACTCCAACAGCACGTCAAGTATTAAAAACCATTCGTCTCCATTCACTCCTATCAAACACGCTCACGCATGCCTGCTGGAAGTCCAAGCCCCTCGCACACAAAACCTTCTTTACCCCCTCCCTCCAACCTTTCCTAGGCCGACCCCTACCCCGCCTTCCTTCCACTACAGACTGATACACTCTTGAAGTTATTCTGTTTCGCTCCATTCTCTCCACATGTCCGAACCACCTCAGCAACCCTTCCTCAGCCCTCTGGACAACAGTTTTGGTAATCCCGCACCTCCTCCTAACTTCCAAACTGCGAATTCTCTGCATTATGTTCACACCACACATTGCCCTCAGACATGACATCTCCACTGCCTCCAGCCTTCTCCTCGCTGCAACATTCATCACCCATGCTTCACACCCATATAAGAGCGTTGGTAAAACTATGCTCTCATACATTCCCCTCTTTGCCTCCAAGGACAAAGTTCTTTGTCTCCACAGACTCCTAAGTGCACCACTCACCCTTTTCCCCTCATCAATTCTATGATTCACCTCATCTTTCATAGACCCATCCGCTGACACGTCCACTCCCAAATATCTGAATACATTCACCTCCTCCATACTCTCTCCCTCCAATCTGATATCCAGTCTTTCATCACCTAATCTTTTTGTTATCCTCATAATCTTACTCTTTCCTGTATTCACTTTCAATGTTCTTCTTTTGCACACCCTACCAAATTCATCCACCAATCTCTGCAACTTCTCTTCAGAATCTCCAAGAGCACAGTGTCATCAGCAAAGAGCAACTGTGACAACTCCCACTTTATGTGTGATTCTTTATCTTTTAACTCCACGCCTCTTGCCAAGACCCTCGCATTTACTTCTCTTACAACCCCATCTATAAATATATTAAACAACCACGGTGACATCACACATCCTTGTCTAAGGCCTACTTTTACTGGGAAATAATTTCCCTCTTTCCTACATACTCTAACTTGAGCCTCACTATCCTCGTAAAAACTCTTCACTGCTTTCAGTAACCTACCTCCTACACCATACACCTGCAACATCTGCCACATTGCCCCCCTATCCACCCTGTCATACGCCTTTTCCAAATCCATAAATGCCACAAAGACCTCTTTAGCCTTATCTAAATACTGTTCACTTATATGTTTCACTGTAAACACCTGGTCCACACACCCCCTACCTTTCCTAAAGCCTCCTTGTTCATCTGCTATCCTATTCTCCGTCTTACTCTTAATTCTTTCAATAATAACTCTACCATACACTTTGCCAGGTATACTCAACAGACTTATCCCCCTATAATTTTTGCACTCTCTTTTATCCCCTTTGCCTTTATACAAAGGAACTATGCATGCTCTCTGCCAATCCCTAGGTACCTTACCCTCTTCCATACATTTATTAAATAATTGCACCAACCACTCCAAAACTATATCCCACCTGCTTTTAACATTTCTATCTTTATCCCATCAATCCCGGCTGCCTTACCCCCTTTCATTTTACCTACTGCCTCACGAACTTCCCCCACACTCACAACTGGCTCTTCCTCACTCCTACAAGATGTTGTTCCTCCTTGCCCTATACACGAAATCACAGCTTCCCTATCTTCATCAACATTTAACAATTCCTCAAAATATTCCCTCCATCTTCCCAATACCTCTAACTCTCCATTTAATAACTCTCCTCTCCTATTTTTAACTGACAAATCCATTTGTTCTCTAGGCTTTCTTAACTTATTAATCTCACTCCAAAACTTTTTCTTATTTTCAACAAAATTTGTTGATAACATCTCACCCACTCTCTCATTTGCTCTCTTTTTACATTGCTTCACCACTCTCTTAACCTCTCTCTTTTTCTCCATATACTCTTCCCTCCTTGCATCACTTCTACTTTGTAAAACTTCTCATATGCTAACTTTTTCTCCCTTACTACTCTCTTCACATCATCATTCCACCAATCGCTCCTCTTCCCTCCCGCATCCACTTTCCTGTAACCACAACTTCTGCTGAACACTCTAACACTACATTTTTAAACCTACCCCATACCTCTTCGACCCCATTGCCTATGCTCTCATTAGCCCATCTATCCTCCAATAGCTGTTTATATCTTACCCTAACTGCGTCCTGTTTTAGTTTATAAACCTTCACCTCTCTCTTCCCTGATGCTTCTATTCTCCTTGTATCCCATCTACCTTTTTTCTCTCAGTGTAGCTACAACTAGAAAGTGATCTGATATATCTGTGGCCCCTCTATAAACATGTACATCCTGAAGTCTACTCAACAGTCTTTTATCTACCAATACATAATCCAACAAACTACTGTCATTTCGCCCTACATCATATCTTGTATACTTATTTATCCTCTTTTTTCTTAAAATATGTATTACCTATAACTAAACCCTTTCTATACAAAGTTCAATCAAAGGGCTCCCATTATCATTTACACCTGGCACCCCAAACTTACCTACCACACCCTCTCTAAAAGTTTCTCCTACTTTAGCATTCAGGTCTCCTACCACAATTACTCTCTCACTTGGTTCAAAGGCTCCTATACATTCACTTAACATCTCCCAAAATCTCTCTCTCTCCTCTGCATTCCTCTCTTCTCCAGGTGCATACACGCTTATTATGACCCACTTCTCGCATCCAACCTTTACTTTAATCCACATAATTCTTGAATTTACACATTCATATTCTCTTTCCTCCTTCCGTAACTGATCATTCAACATTACTGCTACCCCTTCCTTTGCTCTAACTCTCTCAGATACTCCAGATTTAATCCCATTTATTTCCCCCCACCGAAACTCCCCTACCCCCTTCAGCTTTGTTTCGCTTAGGGCCAAGACATCCAACTTCTTTTCATTCATAACATCAGCAATCATCTGTTTCTTGTCATCCGCACTACATCCACGCACATTTAAGCATCCCAGTTTTATAAAGTTTTTCTTCTTCTCTTTTTTAGTAAATGTCTACAGGAGAAGGGGTTACTAGCCCATTGCTCCCGGCATTTTAGTCGCCTCATACGACACGCATGGCTTATGGAGGAAAGATTCTTTTCCACTTCCCCATGGACAATAGAAGAAATAAAGAGGAACAAGAGCTATTTAGAAAAAGGAGAAAAACCTAGATGTATGTATATATATATATGCATGTGCGTGTCTGTGAAGTGTGACCAAAGTGTAAGTAGGAGTAGCAAGATATCCCTGTTATCTAGCGTGTTTATGAGACAGAAAAAGAAACCAACAATCCTACCATCATGCAAAACAGTTACAGGTTTCTGTTTCACAGTCATCTGGCAGGACGGTAGTACTTCCCTGGGTGGTTGCTGTCTACCAACCTACTACATATATATATATATATATATATATATATATATAATATATATATATATATATATATATATATATATATATATATATATATATATAATATATATATATATATATATATATATATTTATATATATATATGAATAACTAAAGTGTAATAAACACGTGTCAATGCTCAGTAATAACCCACATGGAGACAGAAACTCAAGAGGTTAATTGATCTGTATATTTCGATCCCCTTCTGGGATCCTCTTCAGCTGAGGAGGATCCCAGATCACAATTAGCTCACTTGTGGGCTAGTTATGATCTGGCCCACTTGTGGGCTACTTAGAATTATTAAACCTATCCTTAAAGTTACCCAAATTGCTCGTCTCATTGACACTGCTTGGCAGATTGGTTTAATACCTTAGTCATTTTAATCTGTTACTGTCAAGATGTCTGAATATGTGGGTGGGTGTGAGTTAGACCTGCCCAGGCTCGGCCAGTAGACTTACAACAGGGCTACACTATTCTCTTCTTATACTTCTACGTTCTGCTTATGTGTATGTGTCTCTAAGTAGTTTATATGGAGACAACCTTTATATAAAAAAGGTGAAG